TTTTTTGCTGTTAATTGCAATTGAACTGTCTTGTCTTCACTTTGTATCTCAGAAGATAAATTATACATGTTTTAATTTTTGCATCGTACGTGTTAAATCTCGCGCGAATGCGAGCCGAATATAGATTAAACGCGATGTTGCCCGATGTGTCTGTGGCGAAGAATAGGTTCGGAGAGTAGTGTTTTTCGAGTGAGCTATTTGTTTATCTGAAATTCATGTTGTTCGATGTCTTGTGATTGCTTTAAGTTCCCGCCTTTATTCATTTTCTCACGCAACGGTTTGTAACCCGTTACAAACTGGCACAACGGATATTATATTACAACAGTCGAAAACTGTTGCTGTGATTGTTTCGAAATCACAACGGCTATTTTACCCGAAAAGAAGAATAAAGAAAGCCGTTGTAAGACGTAAAAAACGAGGCCTTGACCTTTGTTGTCTATCGTATTTAACGACATTCGACTTTAGTATGAAACACAACGGCTTAAATTCTTTGTTTTTGAGCTTTCACGTTTGTTTCATATGTTATAAGAATCGTGAGCTTTCGAGCTGATAATTTTATTTTATACCGATAACCTCATCCATATATTTAGCTTAAGTGGCTTAGAAAATTTTTCGTGAGAGTAGATTTCATTACATTGTCCCCTTCTATTATTTTGTGCCAGTTTGTACAAGGAAATGGTACGTGAACCGAATAATAAGCCGGCCAAACGAGTATGGGAGTCGGTACAGCAGTACACAGTCCGGTGTGGCAAGTGCGCGAAATGGAGGCTCATACCCACCAAAGAAAAGTACGAGCAGATAAGGGAAAGGATTGGCCAAGAATCTTTCGTGTGCGAAACGGGCCGCGAATGGAGGCCCAATATATCTTGCAATGACGAGCCCGATATTCAGCAGGACGGAAGCTTGATGTGGGCCATGGACAAGCCCGGCGTGCCTCAGACTCCAGCCAACTGGCAGCGAATTATACGGGTCAGGGCAGAAGGGGGCACTAAGTTTGCCGACGTGTGAGTGGAAAATGACATTTTTTTTTATTAACCTTTTTCCGAAATCTTGAATTCGAAATTTATTCCGATTGGTGCTAATACTTTGTAACTTAATTAACAGCTACTACGTGTCACCATCGAACAAGAGGTTGCGTTCTAAGGTTGAGCTCGAAAGGTACGGTTTAGCTTTCGCGTGCGTCGTTAGATTGGAAACACATTAATAATAACTGTTTGAGGTGATTTTATTGTACTGCATGCACGCTCTTAGGTATCTAGCCGAGAACCCGAGTTACAAACGAGAAGGTGTTGACATTTCTCGGTTCTCTTTCCAATCACCGGTGGCTTTGGAAGCCGACTATGTTAATGCCAAGCGTCGACTTGTGGCGACTTCTTCTCCGGATAAGAGCGGTATTTTGAGTAATTAGTGTTATTTTAAGTAAAGAAACAGAAAAAAACATATGTGGACCTAACAAATGTTTGTCTCAGCTAATCACACAGCACTGATTTCTCCATCTGAAAATGTGAAGTCACAGCAGAACAGAGCAACTCCTGAGGTTAGGTCTCCTCTGGGACATACTTTTTCAACGAAATTTCGTACTTTGTGCGATAACTACTCAACTCGTTTCGAAAAGTACGACATTTTGTAGTACAAGTATACATTTTTGTTCCGAACTGTAAGGATCGGCTTGCACTGCAAATTTTTTGCTGACAGTCCCCAACAATGGCCTTGGTTTTTGTTTGGTTTTATCATGTATGCAGGTTAAAGGGGCAAGGGACTTGACAAGGCCATTTTTTCAGCATTGGTAGCTCTACTTGATCTTATTAGTATGTGTTCTTGAATCTGTTGGGGCATGTGATTTGAGAAGGTGAAACAAATTGAGGCTTGCAAATTAGTTGTGTTTTTATGTGGTGGTGTTAAAAAGTGTTGTTTGGACCTTTGACATTATTTTGATTATTTCAATGTAAACTATGGTCATCATAAATTTTATCAGTAACTTGAAGCTTGGACAGTATGAAGAACATAAATTATACGGAGTCATCCATAACTTGATGTGTTGACAAATGCTCAATGTGTAGTTATTGTAGGACACGTGTCAATATACCGTATGTGAATAACTGTGGATGACTCCAATAAGCTGAGCCATCCGATGGCTGTACAGCACCGGTACAAAAAATAGCCAGCTATATATATATATATATATATATATATACTATAAATTATTATATTTTTATTTATATTATATTTTAAAGTAACTTGTTTTGTTTAACATTATTCTTCACCATATGACATGAGAGCAATTATCTCATTGGGTAAAATACAAACTTTTATTTAAGGATGTTAACTAATCGAATGTTCGTGAAGCTCGTTCAAACTTGTTTGTGTTCGACAAGAACTCATGTGTTTGTTAATGGAGTCGAGTTCTAACAAAAAAATAAGTTCTTTTGATTGTCGAACAAACACAAGTTCGTTCGATAATGCTTATGAACATTAGTGTAATATAATATTATTTTATTTTTATATTCATATGTACGAAATTTTTAATAAAAAATATAAAATATGAAAATAACTTTAATTTATTTTTTATTTTTGAGCTCGAGAGTTCGAACAAACAGATCTTGAGTTAATCGTATTTAAAAAAAGATTGTTTACCAAGTTATTCGAATACAAATAAACTCGAACTCTGCCGAACAACTTAACGAACGAGCTTAAACACGAATTTTTGTGCAAGAAATAAATGAATGAACACAAACAATATTCAAACATAAACGAACATGAACTTCAAATGCCCAAGCTTTGTCTTTCGTTTCATTACTTTGATCCACTTAAAATACTAAAAATATGTTCATGTCCCAAATGTAGTCCCGATAGGTATTAAATAAAAAATAAAAAATAAAAAAAAAGGGCATGATAAAAGATGAATAAATCCATACATTTTATTCATTCATTCAAAAAAATCCATTGCCAAAGTCTTAACACAATAAACACAAAACTAGGAAGCTACCAAGTAAAAGACCAAAATGTGAACATTTCCAAAAGAATGATGTATGATAGAGGTCCGGTGAAGATCATACTCCTCTTCGAAGTATGCCCGTTCACGTTTTTATGATTCTAAAAAAACCTGTAAAATTAACATGGGATTTTCAAGACAACCAAAAGAAATTTAATCGACAACTTTTGGGGGCATGAAGAAGGGGAAAAAATGAAACAAATGGCACTTCCAAAATTTACCTCGTCCAAGACTCAGGAACAAATTCGAAAAATCTCATGCTGCCTCTTCTTTAAGCCAGTCAACAAAATTATCGAGAAGTAAAGGCCAAGCTTCACATGAATCATAATTTTGAAGGTCCGGAAAGCTTATCTGTAAATAGTAACATGCGGCACACAAAAATATTAAACGGCTGGATGCACAAAAACTAACAAAAAGGAAATCAATTTCACTTTGGTACGGATATGTTTTGTAGTCAAATAAGCTAGCTTATAGCTTATTGGTTAGCTTATAAGCTTGGTGTATTCAAATAAGTATCTTTTGGTAGGACGAGTTTTTTAAAAGCTCGAGCTTATCTCATAAGCTTCTTTATGTAGCTTTCAAACAAGCTTGTTGAAATTTTTACTTTAGCTAGCTTATCACCTATTTTACCAAACACTTCTATCATATAAGCTAGCTTTTCAGCTATAAGCTATAAGCTTGAAAATCACATATAAGCTATCAGCTAGTTTTACCAAACATAGCCTACATGTAAATGCACCTTGATTTTGAATCACACAATATTAGTTGTGACTAATAAGTTGTCAAGTTGCAAAACTGAGACCAAATTGACTAAGTGCAACGAGAAGAACCTCTTTACAAAACCGATGAAAATTCGTCCACTGATCCATATTCATCACCTTGTAGTCACTCTGAATCTGATACCCAAATGTATAAAAAAAAATGTCAGGGAAAAGCATTTTTGTGTATGGTTACCTTGGATCGCAAATCCCAAGTTTGTCTATGAAGATCGGATCTAATTGTATTAGTGTGAGGTTCACAATCATCACATGTTGTATAACTTCGAAATACACCAATTTAATATAGTTCTTGCTTGCTTACCTTGAGAAATTTAATGAATGAATCAACTTGTGCCCGATATTGGAACCCTAATACCAGGTCGATCAACATGCAGGCGCTCTCAATGTCTAAACACTTCTGCTTTTCCTCTGAAAGAATTGAATAAACAAAGCCGAAATCAGAAAGGAAAACATTCTAATTGCCAGACTCAGACAAAAAAAAAAAGAATGGTACGAAGAAAAAGCAAAGCACACACATTTTATTCAGTAATGCAGGTCTACAACATGTAAAAGGCATACCTGTTAAACAGTAGCGGAAGGCAAACATGTAGAAAACTTCAAAGTTTACCGACTTCAAGGCCTACCCAACAACAAATGCAAAACAGCGGAATCCAAATTATCAAAAATAATACAATAGAAAAATAATGAAAGAAAAGTTCGCAAAAAGGGGAACTACCTCTTTCTTCAATGCTGGTAGTGATTTCTTCAGTTTATTAATATTATCAACTTTAAGAGCTTTCAAGCCTCTCCTCCATTCATCCTGATGATCAAGACGTGACGAAATTTTGAAAAGATAGAATATGGGGGAAGAACACTGAGCGTGCGTGCAGTCTTACATAGAAGACCATGCATGCATCACGTAATAGTTTTGACATAAAAAATAATTCATTGGATCAAATGAAACAGAGTTTACCTGAGTAAAATATCCCTGCTTTTCAGCATCCATTTTCCTATAAAAACAGGTGAAGTATGTGAAGGCCCAGTTCATAAAAATCACCACACATTCTTGAGATAATATTTTTTCTTGTGAGATATTTTCGTAAATTACTTACCAAGCAAGCATCAAAATCCTAATATCTGTGTAATCCACCTCTAGATCAGAACATAGTGCCTCAATTCCCTCTGGTCTGTGCAATAAAAATTAGAACATTAAACATTCTAATCATTCGAGCAAGTTAGATTCAGTAGAATAATTAGCAACTCCCATTATTAGGGAAATCGTGACCTTTCACACCATCATATGCCAGTTTCAAGAAAAACTATCCAATCAATTACAACATTGTTTATGATTCTCCATGTACTTATCTTCTTGCACAGATGTATACAATGGTATAATCACTTTCCAAATAATAAATCAATACAATGGACGAACTAAAAGTTCTCTTGGGAAAACATAACCAAACAAACTGATACATTCTCAGAGGAGCATATCCAATGCAAATGTAGTGAGTATAAAATAAGAATAAACTAAAAAATAAATACTCACTCAATCATCCCCGATGTTTTATCAGCATATTTGTTGAATATTTCATCTATACGTTGATACCCCTTCGCCGAAGCTTTACTGGATGCTAAATAAAAAAAATAAAAAAAAAAGGAATTCAAAAACCAATAATGGATGGTAGATGCAATGCTGCATCGTCAGATACTAGTGCCTCAACTGAAATAAACCAAATCCCTATAGAGAAAACATAAGCAATATGAATAACCTCATTGAGAATGTAAAAACATGGTCCCAACAAAGTCGGACCAAAATGTGATACTACAACTGAGATGGATCTGACATCTATCTGTCCAACTCCCCCACTCCCAAAATTTTAAACAACAATGACTAAATAGCACCAACTAAAAGGGCCCCTTCTATCAAGGCCCACATCATAATACGCTATGTATCGCGAAGAAAATCGACAACCTTTCTATAACTCAACAAAACCCAAGTTGTTCTTTTATGGGTAGATACTAGACATGCACTTCTGATCATTACAATACATAACAATCCACACACACATTCAACAAACACCAAAAAAAATCAAGAAAAATTACACTGTACCCACTTACAAAATAAAATTAAATGTAATAACTAATAACATTGAAGATTCAAGATTCAGAATTGATCAACTCCCAAAAAAACTAGTTCATATTGCCACACTCAACAAAAGAAATCAAATTGAACTCTGATTAAACCCCAATTTTCTCCTCCACCGAGCACGAAAGAACCCCGACAAGATCATAAAAACCCCCATAACATAAGAACCGATAAAGAATAATCGAAAAGCCCAAAATATTACCAAAAATAACAACTAAAATTTGGAAAAGAAAGACATTACAGAGTACATAAAAGCCGAAAAAAAGCAGCTCAGACATATACCAGAACGAACAGAATCTGTGCGGGCGGTTTTGGCAGACGCAGTATTTTGAACATCGGATTTTCTTTTGGAAGCCCGAGTCATTTTTTCGCCTTGCTAAATTAATTTAATTAATCAATCAGCTTTTGTTCAACGAAGAGCTTGGCAAGGGCATGGTGTTTTTGGAGAGGTTTTCTGTGGGGATTTTATTTATACTTGTTTTTTCCAAGAGGGGAGGGGTCAAATTTGGAATGCGCGGGTTTTCAAGGGGGTAGGATGTAAAATTGTAAATACAATTCGATCAGGCACAACACAAGCCTCATGAGTCATGGCCTTGAGCAAAACGGTTGAGTTGTAATTTGTTCACTAAGATGATTTCGTTTAATAATTTTAAGTACTTTTAATTTGATGTAATAACTTTTAATTTTATAATAAAGTATAGATTATGGTATCTATTGTGACTGTATAAACCAAAATAAGTGGAGGGATTTGGAAATGAAAAGAAAATTAAAAAAAAAAATAGAATCGATAGAAAATGACTAAGAACGTGTTATTGGTAAGCGGGTAACGTCATATTCCAGTAATCCATATCCAATGATACTATTTGAAACTTGCAAAATAGTTCATAAGTCCGTCTTTTTGAAGTTGTAATTTCATCACGATTTTGTTTTTCTCTATATCAGTGTCTTATATAGATTTGTAAAAAGATATGGTAAATTTAAGAATCTGCCGACTTACTTATGTATAACGTGTGATGCGAATGAGGGTCGACGTCTTAAGAACGCATACAACCAACAACGGCGAGCTCGTATTAAGGCACAAGGGCAGCAACAAGCACGGGCACACAACGGCTCAGGGGAACAAGCCACAGCATGTCACGGGCTCGGGTGACTGAGTTGGAGTTGATCTTGTTTTATTTATTTTAGAGGGTGGTTCCATTAGTTTATTATTCGTTAGGACCTATTTGCAATTTTTTAGTATTTTCTTTATGTATAAGTTGTATTGACCGATTAGCATAACTTAAGCAATAAGAAAATTCTTTCGCTAGGTTTCTGGCAAATCTCGTGTTAACCAACGACCGTCAGCATCGGTTATCGCAATTCATATCAAGCGATACACAATCTTCATCGTTGGTAGTTTCATTGAGAGAATTGATCGTGTATCATTATGTGAAATTGGAAGTGGATTGATCGCGTGGAGGAGAGCGTGTGTTCCATCAACAAAGATGTACAATCGGCGAACCACAATCAACAGATAATCTCGCACTTGAATTTCTTTAGAGAAATCTTTGGACAATCTTTATTTTCCAAGTTTTCAACTGAATTTTCATAGTTTAGTTTTCTCCTGAACTGAGTTCGTGGGATCTCCATTCAGCAAGATAGGTTTACCACTATGATCATTCTTTTCATTGTGGTTTTTAAAGTCCACCCCCTCTGCCAATATTCCCAAATGATCTCTATTCATTTTTTTAGTAAAATGATCAACCAAATTTTTCTTTGACTTTACATACTCAACGGAAATAATACCATTTGTGATCAATTAGTGAACGATATTACGCATATAACAAATATGTCTACACTTGTCGTTATACATGTTGTTTTGTACATTTTCTATAGCAAGTTGGCTATCACAGTGAATCATTATAGGAGGTGGCAAAGGCTTACTCCAACATGGAATATTGGATATGAAAATTCGAAGCCATTCGCTTCTTCACCAGCTTTATCGAAAGTGACGAACTTCGATTCCATGGTAGGACTAAGCTTTACAATTTTGTTTTGTTGATCTCCACGAAACAACATCTCATTTAATGCAGTAAATATATCCTCTCATGGAGTGAAAATCTCACGAATATTATATTCAACTTGCATCACAATACCCTTTCAGTACATTCGGGTATCTCAAGTAATTCATTTCGTATTCCATGGTGCACTTCAAGTACTTAAGTACCATTTTTAAAGCATTACAGTGCTCATGACTGGGATTGCTTATTCATCAGATATGCTAAGTCTGGTCGTGTACAATTCATTAAAAGTGCATCCAACATTTTATTCTTCGATAATATTTTAACTGAGCCACTGGTTTGCCTTTATTGGCTATCAGGTTTAAGCTAAGATCAATGGTTGTTCTATACAACGGACTGTCATAGGCATTGATTTTCTTGAGCACTTTCTCTACATAGTGAGAATGCAAAAACATATTTTCCACATTCATTAATTTTAAAACCATTTCAGAACATCATGTCATCAAATTTTAAATGACATTATCTCAGAGCTTGTTTCAGTCCGTAAAATAATTTGATCAATTTACACATTTTTTTTCTCTTGTCGAGGTGCTACAAAACCTTACTTGTGTTGTTCCATGTAAATTAAAACTTCAATTCACCATTTAAAAATGTCGTCTTGGCATTTATTTGGTGAATAAAGTAGCAATTGAGAGAAATTCTTTTATCGATGTTATACACGTAATTGTGAATATGTATATAAGAAACCATACCCTTTTTTTTGTTTAAAGACCACCAAACGTGCTTTAAACTTATCAAATCGTCCCATCAACTTTATATTTTTTCTTTAGGATCCACTTACATCTTAAAGATTTACATCCCGCTGAGAGATCAACCAACTTTCACGTATGATTTTGCATAATGGACTCGATTTCACTATGTATAGCTTCTTTCCAGAGTGTTCCATATGGACTGGACAGAGCTTCCTTAATGGATTTCGGTTCATCGTCCAACATATACGTAATAAAATCAGGGTCAAACATTTTCACCGTTCTTACCCTTTTTACCATGTCTTGATTCTTTTTCTTCCTCAGTACCATCCAGTACAGAACTACTAGCAGTTTCATAACTTCGTTCGTTAAAACTAGATTCTATTTTTCTTTACGAGGAAAAATATTGTCAAAGAATATAGCAATCATCAAATGAATTGTGGTACCGACAGATAGCTCCGAATTTTCCGAGTTAGGAATCAAATATCTATATATCACATCGCAGTGTGCATATCCAATAAAGATACAATCGACTCTATTTGGTTCGATTCTCATTTGTTTAAATTCAAGAACTAAAACTTTAGCCAAACACTCCTACACTTTCAGCTATTTATAATACGGCTTACGATTTTTTACATTTTATAAGGAGAACCTCATTTTTCCCTAAGGTGGTATTTCATTAAGGGTATGATTTGTTGTTAAAACAACTTTCCACACATGTTTTGAAGTAATTCCAAGTTCATCAACATAGCATTCATCATTACTTTTACAGTTCATTTTTTTCGTTCACCAATACAGTTCGGCTATAGAGAATGCGGGGTCATCGTTTATGTCATATTCAAAACATATTTGTTCAAAATGAGATGCATACTCCATACCCCTATCACTTGGATTATTTGAATTCTTTTGCTGAGTTGATTTTCAACTTTGGTCTTAAATTTTTTAATGTTTCCACAACCTCGTCTTTGCTTTTTAACAAGTATAATTAGTAAAATCTTGTGCAGTCATTGATAGATATTATAAAATATTTTTTTACCTATTCTCGTTTGCATAATCTTCAAACCACATACATCAATATGGATTATCCTTTTCACCGGATGAAAATGTAATCTATCCATTTCGTCTTCAACACAAATTTCACATTTTTATGTGACTCAACTTTAGAATTTGGAATTGACACTAAATCCATCAACTGCTTAATTGTATTTTAATTTACATGTCATAATTTAATATGCACAAATTAGAGCATTCAACGATATAAACAGGAGTAGGCTTTTCATTAACATTAGAAACGGTTATACGACTCACAGTTATTACATCCATTTTGGATAATCTCTTATCGAGATAACCCGACGAAGGAAAGTTCCAAACATGCTAAGAACAAACTTCTTAGCATCAAACACTCGTCTAAATCCATGCTCTTAAAGAGTGGTCTAGAACCAAAATCTTGTGGATGTCCGGGACATGCAGAACATCCTTAAGCTTCAAATCTTTTCAGAAGTCAACTTCAACACCACCGTGTCAACTTCAGCCATATCAGACGAGAATTTACCCATCTAATTTTTTTACCAGTAGAAGTGTAGTTTGAAAAATAACTCTTTGTCAAAAAAAAAAAAACATCGCGAGTGGAACCAGTATCAATGTGCCACTCCATTGGGTTATCCACCATATGGGCTTCAAACACCACAACATACATGTCATAGTCGGTCAATTCTCTCAAAACCGGGCCATGTTCAGTAAAGTGGCCACTGGGTTGCATCGTCTTTGGCCAAGCCTTGTTAGGCTTCTTGCAGTATTTAGTCATATGGTTGGAATTTCCAAACTGTGGCAGTTGTCAGTAAATTTCCAAATTTTAGCAGACGACTTCCTCTTGTTATTCACAAGAGACTTCATCTTGCTTGAGTTGCCTTACTCCAGCAAGTTAGCACGAGCATTCATCATTGAACTTTCCCTAAAGACTGTTGTCCGCTTCAATTAGAAAACAATCAACCAGGTCTTCAAGATTCGTCTCCTTCCTATAATACTTAAAGTTGTTTTTGAAGTCTCCAACCGTCGATAGCTTCTCGACCACAACTGAACCTTGGATACGACTCACTCAAAGTCATTCCTTCAGCATGAATGTCATGCAAGATAAGTAGAAACTCTTTCACTTAAGATACGGCAGTCTTGGAGTCGATTATCTTGAAATCAAACAACTTGCCGCCAATGAATTTTTTCGCCACAACATCTTCATTCTTGTACTTCTTCTCCAAGGCAACTCGAAGCTCATTGACAAAATAAATCGAGTTAATACACGTTGTACAACCGTTACTAAGTATGTTAAGGACATAACTTCGGCAAAAATAATAATCTTGCCCCCAAGCACCATACACAGTACGTAGTTCAACATTGGTCTCATTCCCAACAACAATAGGGGGACCGTCCTTCATGTACTACACTAAACCCAAGGTGGTTTAGTAAAAGTGTTCTGCTACCACCTCTTGAAATCAAACTCGCTGAATTTTTTAGGGTTTCAAGCAGTTTGGACATGGACAACATGTTAGAGTAGTATACCCGGCGTTCCAATCTGATTGGACGTATTCTACTTGTAAATACAATCTATTGGAATTATATTAATTAAAAGGCATTACTTTATCTTAAGAGT